TGGGTTTTGCTGCGTTTTAAGGGGAAGGAGCGGAGCCAGGCGTGAAATGGCTTCCCCAAGGGCGCTCCCCTCTCCCGGCCGTTTCCCCCGTCCCGCACCTGGATTATAAAATAAAAAAACCTTTTTTTTTTTTTTTATTTTGTTTTTTTTTAAATCTTCCCTTTCAGTTTTCCTCTTCAAGTTCCTCGTGATAGGGAGCGCCGGCACGGGGAAGTCCTGCCTCCTCCATCAGTTTATCGAAAACAAATGTAAGTTGGTTTATTTTGGGGTTTTATTGCTGCTGCGCCGGGTCACTCCCGAGCAGATTTTGTCTCTCGGGCTGCTGGAAAACGTTGTCGAAATATTTCTCTGCGGGATGTTTTGCCAGTGCAAAAAAAGAAGGAGAGAAAAAAAAAAAAAAAGGGGGTTTTTTTGTGGTCTGGAGCCTCAACCCTTCCTTGCCAGGTCAGATGGAAAAGATCTTTTATGCTTTTGGTGGATAAACAGAGTTTTGCCACGAAATGCTGAAAATTTGTCTTTTTTTTTTTTTTTTTTTTTCTTCCCTGAAACCTTCGATTTTTCTTTCGGAACGGGGCGGAGGAAGGCTTTGAGCCTGACTTAATCGGAACTGAATCCTCCTCGGCGCTTTGCGGGTTTAATTTCACGTACGCTGGCGCTCTCCCCGTGTCCTCTGCGCAGCCGCTTGCAAAATCATCTCGTAACGAGCTTCCGTCGCCGGGGAATAAGCCGGGTGGCAAAGTCACGCCGGAGCACGGCGGGATTTTGCCCGAGGAGTTGAGATCGACCCGGTTGCGGCGGAGAGAAGCTCTTATTCTTTCGTAGCCGGCCAAAAGAACAGCACCTCTCGTTTCCGCAGTCAAACAGGATTCGAATCACACGATCGGGGTGGAATTCGGCTCCAAGGTCGTTAACGTCGGCGGGAAGACGGTGAAGCTGCAGATTTGGGATACGGCCGGGCAGGAGAGATTCAGGTAAAGGAAAAACCCTCCGGAGCCGTGCACCGACACTTGTTTTTTTTGATGTTCTTCGGCTTTTTTTGTTGTTTTTTTTTTTTCAGCCGGTCCTTTTCCAGCCGCTCGAGGCCCAGAATTGGCTCAGTAATGAAATATATTGGCTCAGTAATGAAATATATTGGCTCAGTAATGAAATATATTGGCTCCCTGCTTGAAATGAGGGTCCTAAAAATGCTGGTTTGGGGTCAGTTCTGTCCCACCCCGGTCGGCTGCGGCGCTTCTCCTGGGAGCCTATGAAGGGGACCCCAATCTCCTCAAATCCGAGGGTCCGAGACGGGGGGGGTTCCCCTGCATGTGCCGCCTCGTAGAATCACGGAATGGTTTGGGGTGGAAGGGACCGTTGAAGGTCATCTCGTCCTGTGGGCAACTCGATCAGGTCGCTCAGAGCCAACCGTCCAACCCGACCTCGAACGTTTCCAGCCGTGGGGCATCTCCCACCTCTCCGGGCAACCTGTGCTAGGGTCTCGCCACACTCAGCATAAAAAATTTCTTAGATCTGGTCTAAATCTCCCCTTTTTTTAGTTTAAAACCGTTCCCCCTCGTCCTGTCGCAACAGGCCCTGTGTTTGCCGTCATTTTGTAAGCCCGCTGCAAGGCCGCAAGAAGGTCTCTCAGCCTTTCCTCATGGCGGTTCCACCACCCCTGATCGTTTTTGTGGCCTCCTCCGGTCCCACTCCAACAGCTCCGTGTCTTTCTGGAGCTGAGGACCCCCGAGCTGGACGCAGCACCGCAGAGGGGGGTCTCACCAGAGCAGAGGGGGAGAATCCCCTCCCTCGCCATGATGGTGGTGGACCCCAGGAGATGGTTGGTCTTCTGGGCTGCGAGCGCACGTTGCCCGCTCGCGTCCTCTTCTCCGTGGGGCTGCTCTCCAGCCCTCCGTCCCCCATCCCGGATTGATCCCGGGGGTTGTCCTGACCCAGTTGCGCTTGGCCTGGTTGAACCTCATGAAGTTCAACCTGAGGAACCTTCTCCGGCTTGGCCAAGTCCCTCTGGATGGCATCCCGTCCCTCAGGCGCGTCACTCAGCTTGGTGTCATCTGCAAACTTGCTGAGGGTGCTCTTGATCCCACCACCTATATCATTGATGATGGTATTAAACAGTACTGGTCCCAGTATGGACGCCCACTCGTCACCCATCTCCATCTGGATATTGACCACCACCCTCTGGATAGGTCCATCCAACCAATTTCCTCACCCACCCGCCAGTCCACCCATCAAATCTCCAGTTTAAAGAGAAGGAGGTGGTGGGGGAGCGTGTCAAAAGCCTTACAGAGCTCCAGACAGACGACATCCGCTGATTCTCCATCGGAGAAGGCCACTGGCTTGGTCAGGCAGGACTTGCCCTTAGTGAAACCATCTTGGCTGTCCGGAATCACCTCCGGAGCTTCCAGGAAGATCTTTTCCGTGATCTTCCCAGCGCAGAGATGAGATTAAACTGACCTGTTTGTTCCCCAAAGTTCATCCTCTTCTTCTTCCTCCTCAGGTCGGTGACTAGAAGCTACTATCGGGGCGCAGCAGGCGCGCTGCTCGTGTACGATATCACCAGGTGAGCCCCGATCCGGGGAAAATCGGGATTCGGCACTCCGTTCCCACCCTACCCACCTTCTCCTCCGCTCCCCACCCAGCCGGGAGACCTACAACGCCTTGACCAACTGGTTGACGGACGCCCGCACCCTCGCCAGCCCCAACATCGTCATCATCCTCTGCGGGAACAAGAAGGATTTGGACGCCGACCGGGAGGTGACGTTCTTGGAGGCTTCGCGTTTCGCTCAGGAGAACGGTGAGGGAGAAACGTTGGCTCCCGTGGCGTCCCCGGGGCTAATTATGGTGGAGTTAATGAGTCCTTGGTCAACTTAATGAGTCCTTTCTACTTTTCCCAGAGCTCATGTTCCTGGAGACCAGCGCCCTGACGGGAGAAAACGTGGAAGAAGCCTTCTTAAAATGCGCGAGGACCATATTAAACAAAATCGAATCGGGTACGGCAGCTGGGATTTGGCTTTTCCGGGGTGAGGACGGGAGGTTTTGGATCCCAGTGGAGGTTTGAATCCCGGGGATGGAGGTTTTGGATCCTTAGCAGAGATTTTGGATCCCGGGGACGGAGGTTTTGGATCTTCAGCAGAGGTTTTGGATCCCAGTGGAGGTTTTGGATCCTGGGGGTGGAGGTTTTGGATCCTCGGCAGATGTTTTGGATCCCGGGGACAGGAGATTTTTGGATCCCGGGGATGGAGGTTTTGGATCCCGGGGATGGAGGTTTTGGATCCTTGGCAGAGGTTTTGGATCCCGGGGACAGGAGGTTTTGGATCCTTGGCAGATGTCTTGGATCCCAGGGACAGAGATTTTGGATCCCAGTGGAGGTTTTGGATCCTGGGGACGGGAGGTTTTGGATCCCGGTGGAGGTTTGAATCCCAGGGATGGAGGTTTCGGATCCTCAGCAGAGGTTTTGGATCCTTGGCAGGAGTTTTGGATCCCGGGGTCGGGGGGTTTTG